ACCACTGCGCCACCAGGGAAGTCCCAGAAAGTAGTTTATTGAGCAGTGCCTTCTAATTGAAAAATGATGGACTGAGTAGACACATCTATCTCTGACCAAATCCACTGAGACTCAGCGTAGAAAAGAGATTTTAAAACAAATAAGTGGAATGCCAGGCTACAAAAAGAGAAATCTTAGTAGACCTGAAACTGAGATACAGCCCTGAAAAAAAGGAACCAGATAAAAAGAAAGCCATATCAACAGATAAGCTGAAGAATTGAATGCAGACAGCTAGAGAGTGAGACAAGAGAATGCACTGAGGAAATCCCTCAAAAAGACAGCACAATGCAATTTTTTTAAGTGACACTGTGGAAGGAGTTAAAATCACCAACATTTATCTAGTAGGCAATCTGGAAGGAGAAAGGAGGGAGAATGGAAGAGCAGTAATATTTGAAAAACTGGCTGATAATTTCCCAGAACTAAAGAAACAGTTGAGTCCTCAGATTGAGAGACCTCACAAAGTGGTAGGGGTAATTTTTTAAAATATACAACGAACAAATAAACAAATTTTAAAAGAAACTTAGATATATCAGAGTGACACCTAAGATCATCAGAAATAAAGAAAATTCTCAAAGAGATAAAATGCATTAATATACTGGAACTAAAATTCCAGAAAATGAGAATCAGCTTGGCTTCAGACACGTCTCGTTATCCACAGTGCATATAAAAATAGAGAAACTTCAAATGGCTGAGGAAAAACAACTTTGAACCAGAATTGCAAGTGCAACCAAATTATCATCTGAGCGAAAAGTTGTAATGAAGACCGTCTTGGACATACAAAGGCTCTAAATTACTCACCACTGATCCTCTATTTAAAACACCCCACACACACACACACACACACACACACACACACACACACACACACGGTTAAATCTTTAATAGTTTGACCATAAAAATGAATTTATAATAACTTGGAACTAAATTTCCAGATGACAGAAATACAGGAGGGGAGCCAGGAAGAAAGAACTAAAAAATCTTTCTCATTTGAATGGAGAATATAGATACTGATGATATTTATTTTTCTAATAAAATATTCAGTTACAGGGTGTTTTCTAAGGGTAATGTACAGAACTAAAATAGACATTCGTGTCACATGACCTCCCACTCCTATGACAAATCTAAAAGAGTGTTCAAAGGTATTTTTTAAATTAATAATGGTATTTACAAGTTTTTGTAGGGACATGTACTTTTTTTTTTTTTTTTTTTTTTTTTTTTGGGGTATATGCAATGCACTGGTCTCCCAAACCACCAGAATAACTAGTACACTAGGGAAATGATGTCTTCCTAAGAAACTGTTTGACTGGAAAACTTTTCAGCCTTCCAATCCCAGGTCTGGTTGACATGACCAAAGCCTCTAGTTTTTATCTTTGTTTGCACAGAAACATTTTAAGATATATCTGCATCTGTCGGCACCTGTCAGGCCCAAATGGAGTATAAAAGCAGGTTGCATCTTATCCTGGCAAACCACTCTATCCTCCTTTCTCATATTGATGGCTGCACACATGTGCAGGACATGTTCACTTATGTCATGGTCCTGGCACTCATTGCCATCATTGTCATGGGCCTTGTTAAATTGTGCCAGGGACATTCTGAGCATTTCAGACGTCCTTGGCAGTAATGCCATGGCTGTGACATTTGCTGACCAGACATTTGTCATGTTTAGCTGGACCATTCCCATTGCTGTTGCCCTGCCCTACTTTGGGGCCTCAACACGTCTATCTTTGCTTAATCAAGGTGGTTCTTTGACGCACTGTTGTGGAAAAAATGTGATGTTGGTGCCATGGCAGCCACCTTGAGATCATAAGTTGCAACTTGCCAGAAGTGTGGATCCTTGATGACACCACCAAGGTCCCAGACAACCCCAAGACCAGCTACTCCAGACTTCTTGTTAAATAAACATGCACTTCCCAGAGAGCACCCCAGAGAGAGTGAATTCATAAAGTGGCTGTGAGATATTTTAAATTTTCAAGGGAAATAAATTGATGCTCAATATCTGTCAGACAGGGTGTGAATTACTAGCTCAAGGTAGTTCACAGTTTTCTATTAGATGGCCCTACATTCCTTTCAATTACAACATATCTTTGCAAACATGGTTTTATGGGTGTTGCCATATTAATAATAATAATTAAGAAAAACAAGTGCTGCATGAAAATCAGTGTGGAAAAGGAAGTGAGAGTGGCAGTGTCCAATCTGACTCCAAGGCCTGAGAACCTGTGCACTGCCCCAAAGGCATACCTATCCCACGGTAAGCAACTGTAGTATTTAAAAATGAAAGTTACTAAGAATGCAATTAAATTGAGTTATTTAATTATAGTTATTTAAGAATGAAATAAAACAGAAATAAGATATTTTTCCTTTCAATGTACGTGTATTTTCTTAAATGGCCACTAGGTAGTTAGGCCATAAAGACTAAGTGTTTTTTTGGACCTAACTAATAAATACAACTATTAGGTATTCCTTTTGTCCAAGGAACACCATGAACCAAGAAAGTTTGGGAGCCTCTGAAACAAATAATACATGTCCTTCTCTTTCAGGCACTGGGGGTTGAATTTTCTATCCTTTGCAGCAGAGAACATTTATGGCTGATAAGCTCCCTCCCAATATACCAAAGACACTGGGCTTTCGGTCTAATAATTTCTTCTTAAAACAAGTCCCTATTTGTAGTAATGCAGATTCTTGATAATTCAGGCTGATCCTGAGATTTGTGTGCTGTGGACAGTCACAGAAACTTAAAGCAGAACTGTTACTGACCTGGGTTCTTGGACTCTTTAATCAATAGAAATTGATAAGAGACCAGACAAGGAATTCAGGCAAGGCTTTATTGGGACTCCTGCTGCAGCAGGAGGGAGTGAAAACAAGTTAACAGGTTCCCTTGTTTGCTCCCTGAGGCGGGGGGGGGGGGGGGGGGGGCGGCGAGTCAGACCTCAGCACTTCCCCATCCACATGGGCTTCCTTCCTCTTCACGCTAATGTGAAAGGCCCACTGTACACGTCAGTCTCGTGGCCCTAGGTTCTTCCACGTCTAGACCAGATTAAGGCTCAGGGCCCAACACATGAGATCTGGGCCCATGGTGCCATTCCCCCATGCTGTGGGGCTGGATTACAATCCTGAGAAGAGCCTGCGGTCTTTCACGATAGTGCAGGTCGCTCCTGCTCAAGTGCAGAGGAATTTTCCGCTTCGGGGTAAAACTGTATGAAAACTGGCCAAGTTGCCCTCCAGGTGCATTGGCGCCCCTGCCACCTCAAAAGCAGTGCTGAGATGGAGCAGCCACCGCGGTTTGCAAACCATTTTGCGTCAGCCCTGCCAACCGGGTCTGTTGCTTCCTTGGCCCAGATATGAGCCAAGAAACTGGGTACCACCCAGCTAGGATGTGGGCCTCTGGAGAAAGCCACGCCCCCTGCTTACAGGAAGAACAGGGTCAGCCACAGCAATCCTTCCCTCCCATTTCACCTTCCGGCCACCCACCTTCATCCCCATACCTACCAAAGCTAAGAACAGACTCAAGTCACTGAGAAGCAGGGAGCACCACTTCTATTAGGAATCAGAGGGAAGAGGTGCCTCCTAAGTCACGGGAGTGGCTGCAGCTGCAGAAGTCAGAGGGCTGACATTAGGCACCGCAGCAGCTGTAATCCGAGGTCAGAGAGCTGCAGGAAACTGTGCCGGCCTCATGCAGAGCCTGGCCACTGCACAAACTTGTGTCTGCTGGAACCTGCACATAACTGCCACTACTACCAAAGAAAAAGGTCTTCTGCCCCTTTCACCTTCCAAATCTCACTAAGTGTATCTCATTAGAAGACTCTCGATCAGAGCAGCAAGGGAAAGTTTAGCCCTCCTACCCCTGCAATACAGGGGGCACAGAATGGAGCAAAGGTGGTGAACATGGATCCTGAGTGCCATCACATCACTCAGCGGGACTCAAAGTATCTTCTTGGCCCTGGAAATGACCAAGAATGAACCCACAAGAAAGTCTCTGGAAAAAGGAAGGGAAGGCCACAGAGCTGTAAGCCCAGGCAATCAAGGCACCTGAAACCAGATACTTCTTATTGGCCCCATCCAAGTCCTGGGCAGACCCTCTGGGTTTTTGTGAGCTGCTCAGAGGCCCAGGAGAACCAAAAGGAAACTCTGCCACAGGCGGGAGACCCTGGTCTGTAACCATGGTGGCCGCAGGGGGAGGGGGGGCGGGTATCAGCTGGGCAGGGCTGAAAGTTCCCTTTTCAAACTCAACTAGGGAAATTCTATTTTTAATCATTTTATATAGAGATTCTTCATAAGACTTTATTTGGAAAACACAAAGACATATAAATAATAAGTAACACACAGGACAGGGACGGGGGGAGAGGTTGAAACCCATTTTCTTGCACAACACCCCTGACAAAGCCTACCTATCCACCAGTCTTCAGCAGGTGGGTGAGACACCCTCACACACTGTGCATAATGAAAGCACTTGTCAGAGTGCAGGACCCACACTAGTCACCAGACCTTGAATAGAGAGGAGCAGAACAGAAGCTCCACAGCCTGCTGACTCTGCTCCATCCAGAACCAGAAGAGGATGTGGGGAAGAGCAGCAGGAAGGGGGAACGGGGCAGGGTCCATGGCTGCAGGCAGGCCCAGGAGCGGGGCCAGGAGTGCAGCAGGGCTATTCAGAGCACGTGAGCAAAAAGAGTTGTTTGCTTGGTATACACACTGCGGCAAAAAATCTACACAGAAAAAGTATTTAATAATTTTCTTACAATTAATTATTTTCATACAGCTCATTATGTTACAAAACTATACACCTCCCCCAAGCATTGCTGGATAACTCCAAGTCATTCCTTGGGAAAAGAAGAATCAACACTGGCTTTTTAATTTTGAGTCTCTTCTCCTGGGTTGGGCCTATCACGGCCAGAGCAGAGTGTGGAGTACAAAATGGCTGTCCTTCAAGTCCAAGGCGTCAGGTCTTGACTTGGCTTCTCTGGTCATTACAGGAGGGTTGTGTCTGTTTGGAAAGCCAGCACCAGCACCCATAACACAGGTGTCCAGACAGACATGCAGGCACTGCTGACCACCATCTGGCTGTGGGGAGACTGCCCAGGGAGAGGGAGCCACAGCTCGGCAGAGATGCACCTGTCCAGAACGGGGACCTGGAGCTGTGGGATCCCAGCACTTGGAGGCAAAGAGAAAGACACAGTCTCAGGGCACAGCAAGAGCCACTGGATACTCCGAGGCTCCCAAAGGCCTGCACAGCTTCTCCTCACCTCTCTCCTCCAAAGACAGGAATGTATCTTAGTACGTTAATAGATTTCCTACGTCTTGGCCCTCGTGACTACTGCTACAACAAAACCAAATGATACAGGCACTAAGACTAGCACACTGAACAACTCTCCCCCAGCTATTTGCTTCTTGGTTCAAGGATTATTAAAATTAGTTTGCTCAGACTTGCTAATTATCAGGCTCTGGGCAATGTCAAGCAGGGACCCTCCTCCCTGACCACACAGAGAGGCACCGCCAAGCCAGGAGGATTCCTCTCCGGGTCTCTGGCTCTCTCCCCTACCCCAGCTTGGGTCTCATGTGAACACCATGCAGCCTTCCCAGGTCAAGACAGGACAAGCTCAGGCTCACCTGGTCCTTTCAGCTCAGCTCTGGTGTAAAGTGCCCAATCCCTGCATGGCCACCTTGAAAGGAAATGCCCCAGACTGAGAAGGTACTAAACAGGTCAATGTATTCCTCCATCAGTGAAGGATGGTTGATGAGCCTCCCCGTGTCAGGCACCATGGGGCACATGGACACCAACGACCTACCTCACCCCTCTTCCCACCGACCTCCCAGGCTCCAGCCAGAATTACTTCATCTTGGTTCCTTTAACATGATCACTCTCTCCACATCAGGCTTTCGCACTGTTCCCCTTGCTGGGAACTCCCTCCCCTCCCTGTTCAGTTGTTTACACATTCATTCAACATTTATTATTAAGCACCTATGCAGGTATCAGATGCCTGCATCTCCTGATCCAGACTCAGAAGCTCTGTTCATTGGGCTCCACTTTGTCAGGCTTCTACTCAGCAGCAAGCAAAAGGTCGCTTCCTCCAGGAGGCCCTTCCTGACACCCGCCACCCTAAGTTAGGTAGTAATGTCCAACACACAAACACACACACGCACATCCCCGCAGCCCCCTACACTCCCCTTGTGAATAATCAACTCAAAATCCAGCTTCCTCCCCAGACTGTGAGCTCCATGAAGGCAGGGCCAATGTCGGTCTGGTGCACCCCCAAAGCCACAGCACCAACACAACAGCGGGCACATAGGAACAACTCAAAAAGTTTGGTATAAATTGAACTGTAGCCTGGATCCCAGGCCTCTCTGGTGTAGTTCTTCCAGCAGAAACCAGGATGGGTCCCCATCTTTGGCTCCTCTACCTACCTCTGATCCACCCACTGGGCATCTCTGCCGAGTGCACATTCTGTGGTCACCATGCTCCCTGCAAAACGTAGGGGCTGAACAAGCCCATTCCTACAGAGGTGCTTCCAGCTCCGGAAAGCTATGAGCTTCTCCCTGATCTGCGGTGGAGAAAAGGCTGGGAAATCAAGTTCTTCTCAACCTTTAGTCCAGCCTCATGCTACTTTTAACAGACCCACCCATGCCCCCCGCGCCATCTGTTCTTTAACAGAGATAAATATGGGGTCCTGGCGCAGCCCTGGCTTGAAGCAGTTACTTTTAATCTGAATTCACCTCCACCAGAGTGGACATAAGACCGCTGTCCAGGCCATGAGGAACGGGAAAGTCTGCACCGTGATGGTGGGGACACTCACCCCCTACCACAGCCTTGAACTTCCGCCCCCGAAGCATTCCTGGGCTGCCGCCCACCCGCACTTCCGGGGTGAGGACTGACCGGGCGATGGGCTCGCGGCTGGCCCAGCCCGGCCCAGCCACCTCACCTCTCCACCAGTCGAACCACACGTCGCTGAACTGCCGCAGGCGCTGCCTCCGCTCCTCCCGGAACTTTCTTCGTGCCTCGCCCGGCAGATAGGAACTTCCGGGCAGAGGCGTGTGGAGCGGCAACAGTGGGGGCCCGGCAGACCCAGCTTCCGGTACCTGAGCTTCCGGGGTGGGCGCTTCCGGAGCCAGGACGGCAGAGGAGACAGGCTGTGACAACGGGTTTCTGGTCTTTTCTCCGTAAACAGGGGAGGAAGGAAGAGGCATTGAAGGAAGGTCCCCCAGCATGATGCCCTTCCCCGCCTTTAAGGCTCGGGACCTCACAAAAGGCAGATAATGTGAAAGTTCAAGCCGGCTGGGGAGGCAGGGGTCTCAAAACCATCTCGAAAAGTGATCACTTTGACGCCTTTGTTTCTCCCTCCCATACCCTCATTGTACTCTCTCCAAATCCCCTAGCTCTGGGGAAAAAAAATAAAAGATTCTTTCTTAACCGCTTATAATTACTGCACTTGCCTAACAACGGGTCACCACTGCCTAGAAAGTCACTGAAGATTACGGCGTTTTAAGAGGAGTGAAAACTGTTTAAATGCTCTTTATTTAGAACAATTGAAGTGGCCCTTAACCCTTTCCTCCCTCCTGTATCCCTGTAAGGGCTCTGCTCAGAAAGAGGCTCTTCAACAGCCACAGCAGCCTGCCCAGATCCCTCAAGGATTATCACATGGCTGCCCAGAAGGGGAAGAACGAAGGAGGTATCTCCACAGCCAGTGCCCTCGTTATGTCCTCACCCACCCCTTCACTATGGGCATCTCCCTGGCTCTGGGCCCAGAGTCCCTCGCCCCTTCTTATCCCTGAACAGGAGCTCCTTTAGGGACCTCATGCTCTCTCATGACCTCACCCAGGAGCACCGTAGAGAAAGAAGTGCGCCACTGAAAACTCTTAGACGCAACCCTCACAGAACACAGTCAGGACAGCTGCTGCAGCCGTCCACATCAAACTCCCCAGGATCGTGGGAGAGGGTGAACACAAGCCTTTGCACTGGATCTCACAGACTCTGATAGAATTAAGGGTAGGGGCACTGAATAGATCCCTGGCAGAGGAAACTACAAGAACAGAGAGGAAGGGACTGGAAAGCTAAAACTGGGAGAAGAAAGGGCAGAAAGAAAAGGGCCGTGCAGGCGAGGAGTCAGAACTGTATCCCGACTCTGACGAGCTGTGTCACCTTCGGTTTCTTCATCAGTAAAGGAGAAGAAACCGCCACCCCACAGGCTGGTGTTGAGGGTTAACTGAGAGTGGGTGTGAACCAAGTTACCACCTGACAAATTGATCAATAAACGTTCCTTCCTCCCCGGGGAGGGAAGTGTGAGCAGCTCAGTAAATGACAGGACTGGTTCTCAGCCTTCATTGTGTGTCAGAATCTCATGGAGAGATTTTTTTAAATACTGACTCCTGACCTCTCTTCCCCCAGGGGCAGGTGTCAGGGTTAGAGGCAGATTTAAGGAGTCTTGAGAACAACCAGCAACACACACACACACACACACACACACACACACACACACCCATACACACTCCCAAGCGGGGCCCTCTCTGGCAACCCCAAAGATAGTGTGATAAACCCCAGCCGTGCCAGTCAGCCTGGGGCCAGGGGCTGAGAAGCGATCAGAGGGCCCAGCCCACCCTGCTTTCCAAGAGCACACAGTCCAGTGGGTGAGGAAAGATCCACAGACCCTCTCCCCCAAACAAGCAGAGAATCCCGAAGGGCTGGGCTCTCCCCGCAGAGCTGAAGGAGAACGGGAGGGAGAGATGGACGGAGATCTGCAGCAGGACTTTCTCAGTCAGGGGAGGAGTGGAGGGAGACTGCAGACAGTGGAAGGGAAGAGCATTAGCAAAGGTGGAGAGGCAGCGGTGAGGACAAAAGGTTTTCTGATATCAGAGGCAGATCCGTGCTGGGAAAAGGTGGGGTCTGGGTGCCGAGGCATCAGCATGAAGAAACTGGACTTTAGAAGAGGACAACAAGAAACCCTGAAGGTTTCTATTTTTTTTTTTTTTTAACATCTTTATTGGGGTATAATTGCTTTACAATGGTGTGTTAGTTTCTGCTTTATAACAGAGTGAATCAGTTATACATATACATATGTTCCCATATCTCTTCCCTCTTTGTCTCCCTCCCTCCCACCCTCCCTATCCCACCCCTCCAGGCAGCCACAAAGAACCGAGCCGGTATCCCTGTGCCATGCGGCTGCTCCTCACTGGCTATCTACCTTACGTTTGTTAGTATATATATGTCCATGTCTCTCTCTTGCCCTAACACACCTCACCCTTCCCCCTCCCCATATCCTCAAGTCTGTTCTCCAGTAGGTCTCTGTGTTTCTGAGTCAGGGACACTTGTAAGATTAGTCCCACAGAAAGGTGGAGAAGGGACCAGAGGGTGATGACCTTAGGAACAAAGGAGGCAAATCTGAGAGAGATTTTAATGGAAGAAGCCAGAGGCCTGGTGAAGGTGGAAAATGAGAAGTCTTAGGTGAGGGCTTTTGTAAACTAGAAAGTACTGTGTGAAGAACGGCTGTTACTGGTAAACGGAGTGCAAGATACGGAGAGAGGTGAGGGATGAGATAAGCCCAGGATGTAGTCAAGTTTTCCAGAGAACCATGGCTCATTGGGATGGAAAGCGGGCTCCCAAGAAGGAACCTCTGGAGTGACGGGATAGAGGAGGACCTGGCTTGAGACAACATGAGGTGAAGGTGGGTCTTCCGAGGAGAAAGAGGGCACCCGGAGACCTGGAGAAGGGAGCCATCGGGCAGGCACCACAGCTGGACCCCCTCTCCGTCCCCTCGGCAGAGGGCATGCATTTTCCTCCTGGAGTCCTCGCACCACAGCTGAGGACTCTGCCAGGAGGGGGCGCTGGTGACCACGATCTGGAGGGAGTGGGAGAGGAATGGAAGGTGTGCTAAACTGTGTTCCCTCAGAATTCACATGCTGGAGCTCTAACCCCCAGTACCTCAGAATGTGGCTGTATTTGGAGACAAGACTTTTAAAGAGGTGATTAAGTTAAAATGAGGCCTTTAGGTTGGGCCCTAATCCAGTCTGACTGGTGTCCTTAGAAGAGGAAGTGTGGACACACAGAGACACCAGAGTTGTGCCCACACCAAGGAGAGGCCGCGTGGGGACAGTGAAAAGGTGGCCACCTGCACGCCAAAGAGAGAGGTCTCAGGAGAAACCAAACCTGCCGACACCTTGATCTTGGCGTCTAGCCTCCAGAACCATGAGAAAATAAATTTCTATTGTTAAGGCCACCCAGTCTGTGGTATTTTGTTAGGGCAGCCCAAGCAGACTGGTACAGAGTGGGTAGAAAGGGCCACCTTGTGCCCACTAGGACTGGACACGGGGCAGAGACTAGCAGGGAGGCCAGCGTGGGGCAGCAGCATTGCTGAGGGTGGGAGACCCTGGCCTCCTGAATTCTTTACAGAAGGGGCCACAGGGCAGGAGGGTGACTCTACATAAAAATGAGAAGTAAACAGACCTGGGGGTAGGAAACAGCTCAGAGAAAGAGAAGGGGCTTTGCTTCTGCCCCGGAGATGGGTCTGACAGGCACTCCCAGCATCTCCAGCCCCCCTGACCTTACATTATGACTGATTCCACCACCTGCCTCCCTAAAACTTCCCAAGGGCCCAGGTCAAATGCACTGAGCGTTAAGCCAAATCACCCCTCCTGGGCCCCAGGACCAAAGAGCATCCTCCCCTTACCTTCCTTTCTGCCCCAAGCACTGCTGAGGAAAGGCCAGTGTGGCCTCTACTGCCCAAAGTGCCTGGCCGGCCAACCCAAGTCTGACACAGTCCCAGCCACGAGGGGACGCCAGCTGAGCCGGGGACCGAGTGGCCGCTTGGTGTCGGTGCTGGGGCCCTTGGAGCCGCTCAGGACACAGCCCACCCTGGCGCCCAAGCAGCCCTGTTCAGCTCTCAGCTCCCCTAACTGCTCCCTGACTGGGATAGAAGCACAGGAAGGTTACTTGTTGATGGGTCGTCCAGCGGGGGCATGTTCCACCTCATAGCCTTCGCGCCGCAGAACATCAAGAACTGTGTTGTTGCCCATGAAATGCCCTGCAGTAAGAAAAATGATCAGAAATGTGGCAGCTCTCGTGACCCCCAAACACACACGCCAGAACCAAGAAATAACCCTGCCAACTCCCTCCCTTCTGACCAGCTCAGTACAGTTCAGAAAGCTTCTGCAAGGGGGCCTCTCAACAGCTCTGCCAGGCAGGCAGGGCAGGATAAGCAGCGTTTCAGAGATAAGGACTCAGGATCAGAACCATGCGGTGAGCTGCCCCGAGTCACAGAGCTAAGAGGACACCAAGTCCCAACCTTCCACCTCCGGATCCAGGGCTGACAGTCCTGACCATTCTCGTTTATGTAAACCAAGCACCTCTGAGACCCCAGGCCCCTTCTGTCCTATGTCTACTTAAAAATGCACAATAAGACCCTCCTTTTAGCAGAAGCCACCATAGCTGGAAACCTCAACCTAAATTTTATTTCACTTTTTCTTCTGCAATAAAAAGCAGCAAAGATCAACCAGATAAGCTTACGGTGGCATCGTAAAATAAGTATTTTAAAAGGGTAGATCCTGGGATTCATCTTCTTTCATTTCAGGTTTTGATGTTCAGAATTGACATGATCCTCTGGGGTCACAATGCCCCTTTCTGTGACAGTTGGCACGTTAATGTCCTAAATGGCTAATTAAATTGCAGATCCTCTGATCCAGCAGAACCTTAGATGTATCGTTATTATCTCCATTTGAAAATGGAAAACAGGTAAAGTAGGCTCAGGACTTCACACACAAAAGAAGCAGCAGAGCAGAATCTAAACCCAGGCAGCTTGGCCCCAGGGTCTATGCAATGTTGACAACCGAATACTCAAGAGGCAGAAACCAGGAAAGCAGATTAAGGTCCATCCAAACTCTCCCTTGTCCTGACTCCACAGCACTAAGAAGCAGAGGGAACTTAGAGCAGCCTCTGGGAGCCTGGGGAGCCCGAGGGTAGTGTTTGGGGCAGAAGGTACTGGGCTCTACTGCATTCTTGGGTCCAACCGTAGAGTTTAGGACCCCAAGACTGATGAAGGGCAACTGACTCAGATGAAAGGGACGTTGGCAAGGCCCAGATTAGCCCCGGTGCAGAAGCACAGCAAACTCATGTGTAGAGTATGCCTGGACTTGGGGCCGGGGGAGGAGACTGAGCTTGCAGAGTGCTGGTGCGACGGCTTCCACTTTCCCAGCCGTTACCAAGTCCATGTGACAGGGAGTAATCACAATAATAAAGATAGTTAACATTTCCTGAGCATTACGAGGTGCAGGGCACTGTTCTCAGTGCTTTACACATCATTCAGCCTCCCCCCAACAACAACCCTATAAGGTAGGTGTATTACCCCCATTTTACAGATGACGAAGAGGCACAGGTGGTGCCCAGGTGGTCTGGCTCCAGCGTCCACACTCTCAACCAATTAGGAATGAAAACAGGATCTGTAAAGCGAATGAACAGCCCCTATTAGCAATCTTTATCATTAAGGACCAAGCTATTCTGTGTGACTTCAATTTCCTTCTACTCCAAAGGTGAGCTCCATTTCTCATCTTTAAATTTCATCTGCAGATCCCTGTGACAGACGTCGCTGTTGCAGTTTAAACCTCTGGAGCTTTCAGTTTGGGGAGATCCTCACTTTACAATCAAAAGTGTGCTAACCACACAGCATTTTAAATTTCTCACTGCCAAGTCTAAGAGTTTGGGAGCAATTTCTGAATTTCTGTGGTTCCCTCTGGTCAACTCAGCCTTCAGAAGGCACCAGAAGAAATAGACTCATGAGGTGGAGAAAGCAGCCCCACGAAGATAACTGCACCCTGGTGGCTATCCAGGACACTCCTGATACCCAGAGTGCCCAGGGGCTGTGAGGTCTCTATCCAGAGCAGCAGCTGTATGAAGAACCATGACTGAGAATCAGGCAAGCCCAGGTGTCCCAGTGTCACCTGTGCCATCTGTCCAGCACAGTCCCCATCTGGAGGGCTGGCCCTCCAAACTGCCCAGGTCCAACCCACCTGGCAGGCCGACGTCCTCCCAAAACCTCTCCTTGCCCTTCTGGGGCCTGACCCCTGTCGGGGTGCCTGCAGGGTGAGGGCTGACAGCTGAAAGCCATTCATTGACACAGGCCGGACATGGGCACAGCGCCACACAGCACAGTCCACAATCCAACTACAGAACACGGGACTCACGGAGGAGGAAGCCACTCCCAGACCCACCCAGGGCTACCAAGGCCAACACTGTGATTTGTTTCATGATAGAATTTTTCAACAAACAAGATACGGGAACCTGACCCCTTATTTTTTTCTACAACAGCTTTATTGGAATATCATTCACATAACATAACGTTCATTCTTTTCAAGTGTATGATTCAGTGATTTGTGGAACATTCACAAAGTGGTGCAACCCTCACCACTAATTTTAAAACATTTTCGGGAGCTGAGATTTTGATAGGGCTTGCACTGAATGTGTAGCTCAATCTGGGGAATATTGTCATCTTAACACTATTTATTATGTCTTCCAATCCACAAACATGAAATGTCTTTCTATTTACTTAGGTCTTCTTTAATTCCTTTCCCTGATGTTTTTAGTTTTTAGTTTGCATCTTGCTCGTCACTAAATTGAGTCCTTAGTGTTTTTTATGCTGTTGTAAATGGAACTGGTTTCTTTTGTTTTAACTTATTTTTTTTATTGAAGTATATAGTTGATTCACAATGTTGTGTTAGTTTCAGGTGTACAGCAGAGTGATTCAGTTTTATATATGTATATATAAATGTGTATGTATGTGTAAATATATGTACGTATATATTCTTTTCTGATTCTCTTCCATTATAGGTTATTACAAGATATTGAATATAGTGGAACTGGCTTCTTAGTTGCTTTTCCACATTATTCATTGCTAGGGTATAGAAATACAACGGGTTTTTGTGTATTGACCTTGTATCCTGAACTCGGTTATTAGTTCTAATAGGTGTTTTTTGTGGATTACTTAGGATTTTCTATCCACAAGATGATGAAAAAAGAGATGGTTTACTTCCTCCTTTCCAATGTGAATGCCTTTTATTTCTTTTCCTTGTCTAATTACCCTGGCTAGAACCTTCAGCACAATGTCGAAGAGAAGTGGTGAGAGCAGACATCCATGTCTTGTTCCTCATCTTGGGGGAAAGCATTCAGTCTTTCATGATGTCAACTATGAAAAGATGTCAACTTGATGAATGGATAAAGAAGATGTGGTATATATATATATATATATATATATATAATGGAATATTACTTGGCCATAAAAAAGGATGATGTCAACTATGGTTTTTCATAGCAACTTTTTTAACAGGTTGTTAAAGTCCCCTTCCATTCCTAGTCTGATGAGTGTTTTTATCATGAAAGAGTTCCATTTTGTCAAATGCTTTTCTGCATCCATTGAGATGATCGTGTGATTCTTGTCTTTTATTCCATTAATATGGGATATTACATTTATTGAGTTTCAGATGTTGTGGTAAGCTAAATAACGGTTCCCCAAAATATATCCAGATCCCAGTCCTTAGAACCTGTGAATGTTATCGTACATGGCAAAAAAGGGGGGTACGTGTTTTGCAGATGTAAGTAAGCTAAGGATCATGAGATCAGGAGATTACACTGGATCACTCATTCTGCTATTCCAGAAGTGCTTCTCTCCAATACTCGCATTTTACTGGTAAGAAAAAAAAAACTAAGCGGGGTGACTTGTTCAAGTTTATGAAGCTAGTGGAAGAATTGAAAAGAAACCTAGACCAGCAAATACACACTTCTGCACACTACCCAGCCTCCGGCATTTCTGTCCTTAATTCTGGAGGCTGCAAAGCTATGTTAAAATCACTCAAGAAAATAAGAGAATTTATTTCAAAAATCCCACAAAAGGAAATAATTTTCCCAGTGTATTTCCATGTATACTACTCATGGTTAATAATAGCTGATGTATCAGCCCCCAGCCTTAGACTTAGGACGCTCACAGTCAGGGAGGAGAGAGAAAACAGACAAATTTTAAGGGAAGTTAAAAAACAGAAAGGTGCCAGTAAGAAGTTGGGGTTAAGTGCTGAGTTCAGAAGAGGGAGAAATGCCTTCCTGGCTGCGGAGTGTATCAGGAGCCCCACGTGGAGGGAGAGCTAGTGTCACAGGCACCAAAGTTTCAACCACGACGGATACTCTGACATCATCAAAAAGTCAAAGAAGGTGTCACTCCTCTCACCGCGTAGCAGGGCCCACCTCAACACCCCCTCCTCGGAAGAAGCAGCAGAGCCCTGGGTCTAATCAGAGGTAGCCTGCAACTCACCGGCTCCAAAGGCAAAGAAAAAGCCTTTGTCAGGGAACTCCTCCAAAAGGGCCTTCACCCGCTTCCCCATTCTCTCGTTCCGCTTGTAGATAAGTTCCCGGCGGAAGTACCTGTCGATCTCCTGAGCAGTGATGCGCTCCGCAGGTGGTAGCGTGGCATTAATAAAATTGGGAACCTCCGCCAAATAAAGAGAAAACGATTAAGGGCAACAGAGTTATGAACAAAACTGCTTAATTTGAGCATCGAATCACCCAGCCCAGAGAGTCAAGACGCTGTCAAGAAAAAGGTAAAAAGTGACACACCGTTCTGGGAGCCTCCTGCCGGCTATTTTTCCAGACAGTAATATCATTCTCTGTAACCCAAGTGAAAACATATTAAATGAAGTGCCCTGAAAGAACTCTTAGGCTATGTCAAACAGTATTTCTGTTCCATTTAAATGATTCTGTTTGGGGAATTCCCTGGCGGTCCAGTGGTTAGGACTCCTGGCTTCCACTGCAGGGGACACAGGTTCGATCCCTGGTTGGGGAACTAAGATCCCGAAAGCCACACAGGCAGCCAAAAAAAAAAAAAAAAAAAAAGATTCTGTTTGTTGCCACGTGTTTCTATAAGGAAACCTAAGGAAACCATTTCTGTGCATAGCACATCACAGTTGTGTTTTTTTTTTAATTGAAGTGTAGTTGATTTACAACATTGTGTTAGTTTCAGGTGTACAGCAAAGTGATTCAGTTATACATATAGTTTTTTCCAATACAGGTTATTACAAGATCTTGAATACAGTTCCTCGTGCTATACAGTAAATCATTGTTGTTTCTCTGTATTATGTTTAGTAGTTTGTATCTGTTAATCCTAAACTCCTAATTTATCCCTCCCTTCCCTCTTTTCCCTTTGGTAAGCATAAATTTGTTTTCTATGTCTCTGAGTCTACTTCTGTTTTGTAAATAAGTTTATTGGTATTATTTTTTTTAGATTTCACATATAAATGATATCACATATTCATCCTTCTCTGTCTGGCTTACTTCACTTAGTATGATAATCTCTAGGTCCAGCCATGTTGCTGGAAATGGCATTATTTCATTCTTTTTTATGGCCAAGTAATATTCCATTGTGTATGTGTGTATATATATATATATACCACATCTTCTTTATCCATTCTTCTGTCAGTGGACACTTGGGATGCTTCCACAGCACATCCATAGTTTTAACTTGCTTGATTCACACATGATTTTTTCATAAAAATAATTTTACACAATTACATACTTTAGAATCAACCATTATGATTCAATTACCAAATACATCGAACTTCTATAGACATTCAACTGTTTTATAAATTCCTTATCTTTACATTTTCATTATTTCTCCAATTCCCATTTCTCCCTGTCGCTCTCTCCACTGTTCTTTGCCCTACTGGTGAGTATTTCACCTGATTCCAGCGCACATCTTAGCCAGTTTCAGTATTTTGGCTAACAACAGGGTGCTAATACACCAAAACTGTGACAATCAGGGGTGGTTTTTGCAACACAGTAGCTGTAGGCGAGGCTGACACGTTGCATTGGTTCTCTCCCCAGCCCCAAACCTCGGCCTCGCCCCACCGCCCCCTCTCCTGCTCCCTGGAATTTAACAAGGTTAAAAATTACCCTAGTCAGGGCTTCCCTGGTGGTGCAGTGGTTGAGAGTCTGCCTGCCGCTGCTGGGGAAACGGGTTCGTGTCCTGGTCTGGGAAGATCCCACATGCCACGGAGCGGCTGGGCCCGTGAGCCATGGCTGCTGAGCCTGCGCATCCAGAGCCTGTGCTCCGCAACTGGAGAGGCCACAACAGTGAGAGGCCAGTGTACCGGAAAAAAAAGAAAAAAAAAAATTTACCCTAGTCAAATACAGAGTAGGATATGTTACCACTCCTTCTACTTCCAGGACCCTCCAAAAGACCTTTTGAAAATCCTCACACGCTGTAATGTAGACATCAATTTCCATTTTCTGGATAACAGCTCTCCTGTTATTTCCTTGAAATGATATTCTTTCATTTTCAAGTCAAGAGCCTTCACCTTCTCCTTTGTCATCTTGTTTTTTAATCATGTCATTTATGTAAGAACCTTCCCTCCGTTTCCCAAAATCTCTTCTCTTCCGCACAGCAGTGCCTTTCCACCAGCAGCCTCTCCACGCAGGCAGCCCCAAATGTGCAAGGTGACCTCCCCCTGCCGGCCTGCTCCACCTTCTAAATGCCAGACATGCCCTACGACCTGCACCACTTGGCCACGCGCCTGGCCCTCATTCCACAACGGCAGGCACATTCCCTATACCCCACAGCACCCGCAGGGGCCCCGTGAACAGGACAGGCGTGGAGGAGCCACAGGAGAGGAACGCATAAGACAGCTGTCCCCAAACAGCTCTGTCAGCCGTGCCATCTGCCCGTATAACTAACTCCCAAGCACCCCCCAAACTTTTAACCCAAAGTTAAAAGATTAACTCTTATCTGCCGCGTCAAATTTTAATTTCCCAACTGACCTTGACCCTTCTGCCCACTTCCCCCACCCAGGGTGTACGTAAGAATGACCACCACCAAACTCTGCTGTGCCTTTTTTTGTGTATTTCTTCTTTTCTGCTTCCTCTTGCTTGCTCTGCCTTGGTTTTACTTCCTCCCTCTCTAGACTTTCTGGAAAGTTCCTTTTATCTTTTGATATTTGCAGGGTGAGTCCCTTTTTCACCTCTTATACTCACTCCCATTTCCTATGACAGGGTCCCCGGATCTAACAGACCTGGACAGCATCACTCACACCCACCAGCTCCCTCCTCTCTCTTTTCCAGTGTCCTGAAGGTGGGCAAGATAAAACACTCCCCCATGTCAGAAGCTCAGCTGGACTCGCCACTTCCACTTGATCTTAGTGGGGAAGGGAAGGAAGCCAGGGTTTGTCCCACGGGAAGCTTGTTGATCGAAGCATAACAAATATCCATCCTACCTCCCTCCTGTAGGGAGGCTGCCATCCTCTGAGCCCTGGCCGGCCACTTTCTTCCCCTAGGTGGCCCCCAGGTAAGGCCTGTCCTGTGTCTACACTGACTGCACCAGTTCGGCCACACTCACTGCAGTACTGCAGGATGGAATCCATGTCCGGAAATGCTGGCAGCCTCCCCAGCTTCTTATGTGCCCCCCCGTAAGAATACCAGGAACACTTCCCATTGCATCATGCTCACATGTTTCTGGAAGTCACCAGCAGCTGCAGCCAAAACTCTGCTCCATCATTTCTCAAAAGTTACCTAAGCCAGCAAGGAGGCTTTCAGACTCGGACCCCTTCTCCTCTCTGAAGGCTGGTTCATGCTCCCTGCTGCCTAAGCCATGGGGCCTGCCGCCAAGTCCCTTGAAGCTTCATCCTTTGACTTCATCTGGGAATTAACTCTCATCAATGCCCCTCTCAGTTCTTTTTTTGTTTTATTTTAATAAATTTATTTATTTATGGCTGCACTGGGTCTTCGTTGCTGCACGCGGGCTTTCTCTAGTTGCAGCAAGCAGGGGCTACTCTTCATTGCGGTGCGCAGGCTTCTCATTGTGGTGGCTTCTCTTGTTGTGGAACGCGGGCTCTAGGCGCGAGGGCTTCAGTAGTGTGGCATGTGGGCTCAGTAGTTGTGGCACACGGGCTTAGTTGCTCCACAGCATGTGGGATCTTCCCGGACCAGGGCTTGAACCTGTGTCCCCTCCATTGGCAGGAGGATTCTTAACCACTGAGCGACCAGGGAAGTCCCCCTCTCAGTTCTTAAGTTTCCTAAAGAATGCTTTTGTTAGCTGCAGCATCCCACTCAACACCTACGTGTGCCCAATTGTATTTTTAGAGCCCTTCATGACCTCAATCCTCTGTATACAGGATGTCCCAGTGTCGGCAGGTAACGTCCTTATTCTTGCACTTAAATGCACCCTGAGCTGAGCAGGGGATAAGGACTCTCACCTGGGAGCTGTCATGGCTGAAGATGATGGAACTGAGGTCCCCACAGTTATAGTGTTTGATGAGGTCCTCTGTTGTATAGGGGATCGGAAGGCTGCCCGCTCGCAGGCTCTCCTGCTGCAGGGGAGTCTGGTTTAAAGCAAAGATGACCTGAGGGGAGAAAATATAGGTCTCTTTTAAGTCCACTGACACAGCAATCATTAGCTGCCATCTTATTTCTTTTGTCCATGGTTGGCAATAGCCTCACCTGTGTTCGTTATATAAGGACATGGACCCTGCCGCTAAAGAGGGGAATGCAAGTCCCTGGACGGTGTCCAAAGAAAAGGAGGACAGCCCTGCCCAAGTCAGCCCCCGTCAGATGACACCTGGGGAAGTGCCTTAAGAGGGATACCAACAACCTGGAACTCTCCCATGAGAGTGATCAAGAGGTGAGGGTCCCAAAGAGCTGGCTTGTGAGGACCTGGGGAGGTGGGGCCGGGAGGGACACACAGACAGACACTACAAAGCAGTGAATTCCCCTTGGCACTGGAGAGCTAGGTCAGAGGGGGAAAGGCGGGGATTCTGGCACCTTTCCAGGTGGGAATTGGGACCAGCCGCCCTCTACAAGGCTCCTGACAGCACTGTGGCATTTTCCCTCTCATTCACCCAAGTATGGACACAGACATATCACCTTTGACAGCTGCCCCAGTAATCAGTGTATAGGATACTGCCTTTGCTGGAATGTTCCCCCTCTCCCTCTGGCTGAAATGCAGACAGGCGGGACCTGTCTGATCATGATGTCTTTAGCAGGAAATTTTCAATTCTCTGGAGATAACACATTGCAGGTCTCAAGTCATCAAATGACACTATGCATCCCCAATCCCCTTCTTTCTCCCCCTCATTCTGAGTGGCAAAGAGCATGGGAGTCTTGTCATCTTGCTTCCCACAGGCCACCACGTGTGAGCCTGTCTGCCACATACCCTCCTTCCACACCCCTTCCTCCCTGGGTTACTCTGTCCGGGTCAAGGCACCTTAACCAAATGGGGAGGGGGGCAGCTCCCTCTCTGTAAAATCCCCTCGTCTCCTCTCTTCTCTCCACATCCCCCCCTCCCTGTCAGAGATACCTCCTCCAGCCTCTCCTGGAGGTCAGCTCCCCAAGGATCTGTAGACCAGCCTCTTCTATCTTGGGACAGGACCCTCTGGGCCATGCTGTGTTCCCACCCTCCCCACCCCTCTGCTGGTGATGTGAGTTGACAGAATCAAACATATCCATGGGCATGTCCGCAAATTTCAGTCTAAGTGAGGAAACTCAAGATGAGCCCCTGGGTTCTAAAGCCATACAGTGAGGACCTATCCACACCACTGGGTGTTGCTAAATGGCTTTCAATCAGCTGGAGGAAGAACCTTTGGAGGGGAGGCAAGGGGGCATTATGGAAGCACCTCTCAGGTTTGCCATGTCCCAGGCTAAGGCTTCACACATTCTGTCTCAGTATAACTCATCCAAACCAAGATCCCAGGGTCTGATCAGCTCACAAACACCTGCTGATGGCTTTTAGTGTTGTAAAGGCATTCAGGATGAGCCCAGGTTACCTGTTGCTAAGAGACCTTCCTCTAAGAGTTTCCATTGATTCTGGAATGTTTTTATTAAAGTGTTCCTGGTATTTAGAGAAGATTGAGCCACTCATTCTAATAGACTCACCAGTCTGCAAATTGGGGAACACTGTATGGGCCACATTATATTATATTAATAATTATATTATTAACATTAACATTGTTAATGTTATTAAATATAACATTAATGTTTAATAACATTTAATGTTATTAAATATAACATTATATTAATGTTATATTTAACATTATATGTTAAATAAGAACTTTGTTTATTCAGTCCCCTCTCAACGTATTCAAGGGTCACCTGTTGACAAGAAGCTTACAAAGACTTGCTAGGATGTTTGTCTTTGCTTTTGATGATTAAGCTTTAAATAAGTTTGCATACCAAAACTAAGCCAGTAACATTATTTTGAGTGCTGACTATGTACCCTGCTAAAGAGTTCGCTTCTGTTCTCATTTAATCCTCTCAACATCCTAAAGTAGTAACTATTGTTAAATCTATTTTAAAGGACAAGAAAATGAGGGGGAAAGAAGTTAAATAATTTGCTTATGGTCACACAGCTTAGTAAACCAAAGTGTCCCCACAAAGTGTGTGAACCCAAGCAGTTCAATACCAGAGCCCGAGATCTTCACCACCACGCTATACACGAGGTACACTGCTACCAAGTAGCGTAACTGACTTTTGTCATATGGTCTAATTTAAATTATTAGGCTTATGCTAAAGACCTAGGAGTCTGAAATCGGGAAGAAGGGAGGGAGGGTTAGAGGAGGGAGGAGAGAGGGAAATGTGAAAGCAGAAAAGGAATCAGAAAGAAAGGCACACTAAAGCTTTTTTTCACCCAGATAAGAGTAGCACTCACACTATATCTAGAAAACAGAAAATTTTATACAAAAGAAGTTTTAAATTGCCCATAATTTCAACACTCGAGTTAAAACTGCTTTTAACAACATGTGGGTATATATTGAGTATATTTTCTTTCAGTTTATTCTATACCTTTTATACAATTGATTGTACTATACATAATATTTAGTATCCTTAACTGTGTCACCTTGCTGTACAGCAGTAATTAACACAACACTCTAAATCAACTATACTTCAATTAAAAAAAAATTAGTGGGCTTCCCTGGTGGCACAGTGGTTGAGAATCCGCCTGCTGATGCAGGGGACGCGGGTTCGTGCCCCGGTCCGGGAAGATCCCACATGCCGCGGAGCGGCTGGGCCCATGAGCCATGGCCGCTGAGCCTGCACGTCCGGAGCCTGTGCTCCGCAACGGGAGAGGCCACAACAGTGAGAGGCCCGTGTACCGGAAAAAAAAAAAAAAAAATTAGTATCCTGCACTTTTTGTGTGACAGTGTAAGCATCTCCTCACATGACAGAGTTCTTAGCCTCACATTGCATGTGATAGGCCATCACTTAGCTAAACTTTCTATTGTCAAATAGTTAGGTCTTCATTTTTAAAAAACTATCATGAATAACACCGTCAAGAGCATCTGGGAGCAGAAAGTTTTTTCTATTTTCAAATTATTTCCTTGGTATTGATTCCTACCCAGTCAAAAGATTTTTACTTTTCTTTTTCCTAAAAACCTTTTGACTTTTGCATTGTTCTTTTTTTTTTTTAGTAAAAATTTAACTCTCCGTTAAAACACAAATTCAATAAGCATTAAGTGGTAACGCAGACAATCTCCCAAAGCCAATTTTATACAGAAGCCCTGCCTCCGGTACAATCTGTACCTCCGCGCCAATGCAGCCCCAGCAGCGCGTCAGGGAAACCGCGCTGCTGCAATTGCACCCGCCCACTGTTCCCTCTGCCTGGAAGGGTTCTCCTACCCTCATCCCTATGGCAGACACACACGTGTCTTTTGAAATAGCAACAGGAGAATCTCCTCATCGTGAAGCCTCTGTCATTAACTCCCAGGCACAGCGAGACCATCTCCTCTTTGCCCAGAGCCTCCTGTGACTATTCTATTACACCGCTAATGGCACCGCCCTGCGTAGCCACCCCAAGAGTAGCAATCGTGTCCTCCTCACCTCTGCATCCTTCCCATCTGGCACACAGGACATGACATACTGTAAACATTCAATAAATTTTGACTGAACGAATACGGTTTAGAAATGACTCTGCCAAAAACTGAAGTCTGAGGCAGGATGGACACTTATAAAGGAAGCCCAGGAAAACTTTGCCAGCCAAGCCAAATAGGGAGCATCTCCAGAGAAGCCAGACTCACCAAACTTCTCAGAAAAGTAAATGGGGGGTGGAGGTAGGGGAGGAGTATTAGGCCTAATGTGGGGGAGTAAATCTTACCCCCAGAGACTCACGTTTTCTTTGAGCTTATCCCTCAGCCAGCTTTGGGAGGTCTGCATTTGGACTTATTCCTTAAATGCTTGTCCCTACCAAGCCTCCATTCTCTTAAACTCCCATATTCTCCTGGTATAAATCAGGATAGGCTAAGCTCTGCCACAATAACAAATTAAACCTGAAATTTCAATGGCTTAGCAAATGTCTGTAGCTTGCTCACAAAGTCTGAGTGAGGTAGTGGCTCTTTCATCCATCTAGTCCCTTGGGAATCCAGTTTTGTTTATCTTGTGACACTATTCTCCCATCGGTTTCCATGGGAGGCAATGGAGTGAACATGGCAGGTGACCTACAGTTCTTAAATGCCTCAGCCTGGAATTCCCACAATTCATTGGCTAGAAGTAGTCACATGGCCTTGCCTAATCCTCAGAGGGGCTGGGAAATGTAGTTTTCCCATTTGCCTAGGAGGAAGTAATGTCCTTGAGACATTAAAACAGTTGACGGGGGAGTTTAGTGCATTAAGTTACTCAGGATATCAGACGCGTCCCTATTCAGAATTACACCCAGTCCCTGGTGGAATAAGAACATCAGGACAGTAACCTGGCTAAAGGTGCTCATCCTGAAGGTTCCCTGGCAGCCTGTGGTCCTCAAGCAACAGAAGGTCTGGGGACAGCAGAGGCTGGGGATGGGGGTGCAGGGAAGCACAGGATAGGGAGCAAAAAGCCAGTCGTGATCCTGGGTTAGCCTGGAATTCTGGAAATTGAGTGGTTGGCCAACCAAGCATCATGAAGAATGAGAGAGTATAATGGATCTGAAAGGTGTCATGAAAGGTCATTCTTGTGTCAACTAATAAAGAACAGAATCACAGCAAGTACAGTGCCAAATATTCCTGAAGTTCATTCATTCTTCTTCCATTCATTAATTCAGCCAATAAATTGTTATTTGTGCCTACTGATCCAAGCACTGAAGATACAGTAATGAACAAGAAAGACAAGATCCTTGCCATCCTAGGGTTTTCATTTTACCTGGAAGTGCGGGAGGTGATGTCAAGAAGAAGGGGGGGTGCTTCCCTGGTGGCGCAGTGGTTGAGGGTCCGCCTGCCGATGCAGGGGACACGGGTTCGTGCCCCGGTCCGGGAAGATCCCACATGCCGCAGAGCGGCTGGGCCCGTGAGCCATGGCCGCTGAGCCTGCGTGTCCGGAGCCTGTGCTCCGCAACGGGAGAGGCCACAAGGGTGTAAGGCCCACGTAATGCAAAAAAAAAAAG